TCTTTCAGAAAACATGCTTATCGAAGTGTCTTAACGCTCGATTGACAAGAGCCACAAATCGTTCAGCGAGAACTTGACTGAACAAAACTGCATCGCTGGGTGATTTGAATAATGACAAATTGCGGAAGAACGATAAGATAATAGCATTTTGCGCACTGCGCAAGGTCTCCTTTGAGATCATTGAATTTTAAATCATTGAGGCTCGCTTATTTGCAAAATTAGCAGTAGTTACCTTTGGCCTGAAGCAAACTCCATGAGGGAAGAAAATGACGCGGGAGCTTCCAGAAAAATTCAACCGTGCCTGATAACTCGAAAAATTATGCTTTTAAACATAACAAAGCAGTAAAACACCATATCGCTTTAATCGATAGACGCCTCGATCATTTTGCTGTATGCTGCCCAAGATATGAAGTCAATGGTGGAAACTGAATTGATTACCGGAGAGTACATTATTCCGAGTGAACCAAAAGATTTGCATACGACAACTCTTCTAACACCAAGTAGCAATATTCTCCTAGAAAATGACTACCTCAGTCGTTTTAGTATTTTGGGGCTTAAATACTATTTATTGTTCGCAAATACCATTTTAAATATATAAATATTACGTTATCAATCTACTGGCGTCTCCCAGAAAAAGCAAAGAAGTATGGGGTGAAGTCCGATCAATCGCACGGTTAAGTATCGATACTCTACGTAAACAACCAGAGGTCTTTTTCTAGCGTTTTATTAGTCGTTTGTAGCGATTCAGCCAAAAAAGGACACGAAATTATGCAAAATTATAGCAATATGAACCACTAGCATATTGGTGGCGGGAAACCGTCAATCTCTTAGTTGAATAGTCGTCTTTTTCTTAGCAGGGAAGTGAAGTAAGTTTGGAAGTGCCCGTTGGAATATGACCAATATAAAAGGAAAGTTGACCATAGTTTTTTAGAAAAAATCTGAAAAGCTAAGATAATTCAAATAGGGACAGAAACTGCGAGCACTCGAAGAGGGTGAAACTTACTTTGAGTGCATAAGTGCAACCAGAATGCACGCTGACACATTTAACCACTTTTCCGCTTACACCAGCACCAAGAACTGCATTTGTAATCTGATAATCGTTGGTAATTTTCGTTTTTTTAGGCGTAAAGCATAAGCGCTTTCCTTGCATTACAAATGTGGAACTCCACAGTGACACTGTATTCCAAGCAGGAACACCAGGGCAAAAGACCAGTTACACAGATTGCCTGCGTCTAAAGTGTGGTTTCCTTCAAGGTCAGTTCAGTTCAGTTCAGTTCAGTTCAGTTGCACAGGACGAATATGGCTCTTGCCA